TTCTTTAGATTGAAGGATAAGAGAATGAGAACAACGACATAGGGTGTTTGGGGGTTGAGCTTCGACAAGAAAGGATATGTTGGAGGTTGGGATGAAGGCAACAACCTCCTCTCTCTCTCTCATATTCGCATTTTCCTGTGATCGGAGGACCACCCACCTCCGGTGGGTGAGTCTTGGCAGTCTAATGAAGAAGAAATGGGGACAACAATATCAAGTATCGGGGGTGTTTGTGATGTTTTAAACAAATAAGACAATAGAAGAGAGAGAGAGAGAGAGAGAGAGAGAGATAGAGGGGTGGGACCCTCTTTGTATATTATTTAATTTTTTTTAAAGTAAAAGAAAGCATCATAAATGGTCTCTGTGGTAGTGAAATGAAGACAAAACCTTTCAATTAACGAACAAAACTTAATGGAGTTAGCAATAAGGAACAATCATCAAAAGTTTTGAAAGCACAGGGACTAGGTATGACGTTTCTAAACCACGATGACTAAACTTCAGATTTGGAAAAACCACGATGACCATTTATGATGTTTTTTTTTTAAATTAAATATAAAGGTTAAAATATTTAAAAATTTGAATTTATAAGAAAATAAGAAAAATAATAATTTATTATAATGGAAATGTTTTTATATCTTTTAGATATAAATGTGAAAATATTTTAGAATTTTGAAATTAAAAGGTAAGTTTATTAGTGAAATTAATATACATTTATTACAACATTTATTGCAATTATTACATTAAAATATTATATGAAATTTAATAAAATAAAAAAAAAACTCATAAATGATATGTGGAAAAAATATAATTAAAAAAATCACAAAATAACATTTGACAAATTGAATAAGAGTATGACAAGTATATATATATATATATATATATATATATATATATATATATATATATATATATGACAAAATTACATAAATGGTCCTCATGGTTGACAAAATCGATCAGTTATGGTCCTTATGACGAATTCTTTACACAGATGGTCCCTGTGGTTTCAAAATCTTACAAAGACGGTCCTTTTGACTAACAGCGTTAACTTTTTCAGTTAATTTTTATGTGAAATGACATATTTGCCCTTCATGCATAAGGACGCTTTATGTAATGTGTTTCTACCATAGGGACCATTTATGTAATTTTCTCTATTATTTATTATTTTTTTTATTTATTTTAATTATATATTTAAGGATTTAGATTTGTTTAAATTTATTGTTTTATATATATATATATATATATATATATATATATATATATATATACATGCTAACATTTTTTAACGTTTTGCTCAAATTATTTTTTCTAATCTTTTTGATATTTTCTTCAAATAAATTTATTAATGTTTTTTATTTTGACGTTTCATTCGAATATTATTTATTTATTTATTTTATTTTTTTGACGTTATGTTCGAATACATTTTTCAACTATATAACGTTGTATAATTATTATTTTTGTAAACTAATTTATTAACATTTTTTTATAAAAAAGTGTAAAATGTATGTTAAACGTGAATATAATTAATATAGATTAGGTAGACATAGGCTAAGCTGAGACCGCCTCACAACGTTGCCGAGAACGACGAGGTCATTTCACATTAGATTTAAATGTAATTATTTCGAGTTATTTTTTTTTTGTTTTGTTTTTAGCAGTGTTGTAAAAAATCACAACACAAGGGTCTCTAATCGGTCAGGTAGCGTTTAGGGATTAATCTGAGTTTAAACGGGCCTAATTGTAATTTTTTACAACACTACTAAAAACAAAAAAAATAAAATAACTCAAAATAATTACATTTAAATCCAATGTGAAATGACCCGGTCGTTCTCGGCAACGTTATGAGGCGGTTTCAACGTAGCCTATGTCTACCTAATCTATATTAATTATATTCACGTTTAACAAACATTTTACATTTTTTTTATAAAAAATGTTAATAAATTAGTTTACAAAATAATAATTATGCAACCTTATATGGTTAAATATTTGAATTAAAAAGTAATAATTATATAACCTGATAAAAGAAAAAAATGAAAACATAATTGAAAGTGAATTAAGTTAAGAATTATAATTACAATAGCCGTGAAATCCTTTAACAAATATAAACATACTATATGTTGAAAAATGTATTCGAACATAAAGTCAAAGTAAAAAACATTAATAAATTTACTTGAAGAAAATATCAAAAAGATTAGAAAAAATAATTTGAGCAAAACGTTAAAAAATGTTATATATATATATATATATATATATATATATATATATATATATATATATATTAAACAATAAATTTAAAAAAATCTAAATACTTAAATATATAATTAAAAAAGATAAAAAAAAATAATAAATAATAGAGAAAATTACATAAATGGTCCCTGTGGTAGAAACATATTACACAAAGCATCCTTATGCATGAAGGGCAAATAAGTCATTTCACATAAGACTTAACTGAAAAAGTTAACGCCGTTAGTCAAAAGGACCGTCTTTGCAAGATTTTAAAACCACAAGGACCATCTGTGTAAAGAATTCGTCATAAGGACCATAATTGGTCGATTTTGTCAACCATGAGGACCATTTATGTAATTTTGTCTATATATATATATATATATATATATATATATATATATATATATATATATATTAGAGAGGAAATAAACTAATATGAATAATATTTTTTTATTACGTATAGTAACACAATTGATCTTGTTCGTTATTTTTGTTTGTGCCGTTTTGTTTTTTAGTGATCTTTTATGTTGTTTATATTTATTTAGATTTTGTTATATTTGTTCATGTCCGGAAAACATCTCAACAATTCTTGTAGTGACAAAGGATAGAGGAATCTCCAACAACTCTCATAATGACAAACTATAGAAGAATAAGAACATGTAAAAGGTCCAAAACCGAAGAAAACTCTTGGGCCTAAGAGGATGAGAAGCATGTCGTAGTTTGGGCAAGGCCTTTCATGGGTTGGGAACCTTTCTTCGGCCCATGGGAGTTGGGCTAATACGCATTTGTGGCCAAAATTCTGACTTGGGCTATTCTCCTTATTTTGGGTTTTGATCCATTTGGTGCTAGAGGTTGCTTTGCGGTTAAGGTTCATAATTTTTAATCTTTATATATATTATAAGAGAAACTTGATGATATAATCTTCAACAATCAGGATCATTCATTGTATTTTCTTGATTAATTTCAACCATTGGATCATTTTGATGATGTCATATAAAATAAAATAAAATTAATATTAACTAAATTAAGTTGACTAAGTTTGGAAAGTTGAAAACTTATTAATGGTGACTGAAATTTTTAATTGGAATCTATACAAGTGAAATAAATGTCGGTATAATTATCAAAACATAAATATGGTTCCTTCCTTTTTAAAATCAAGTAATTTGTATATACCTTTCATAATTATAGAATTTGAAATCAAAGAATTCAAAATAGTGTGATATGAATCACAATATTTATTTCTTCATATCCTTTCCAAAATCGTTGTTCAAAATTATGTTAAGTATATATTCTCATTCAGTTGTTATCACAATTTCGTGAAATTTGGACTTTATAGCATCACGTTCGAATACCAGCTTCATAAGGTTAGCAATTTTTTTGATTTACTTATTAATTTCTTACTTTTGATTATAGTTTATGTGTTCAGTATATATATATATATATATATATATATATATATATATATATATATATATATATATCAGTGACATATTAATGGGTTTTTGATAAACGGATTTTCTATTCTCTCTCTCTCTCTTTATCTCTCTCTCTCTCCCTCTCTATGTGTGTGTTTGGATTGGATTAAGTAAAATTTAGTTTAATTGATTATATGTTAATTGGATTGGATTATGTGTTTGGATTGGATGAAAAAATAAATAAAGAAAAGTAAAAATATAGTAGCTTCCAGAAGGGTTTAGTGTCTATATATTAAAAGAAAAACTTGATGACATCACCTTCAACAATCAGGACCATTAATTGTGTTTCCTTGATTAATTTCAACCATTGGATCATTTTGATGATGTCATCATAAAATAAAATAAAATTAATATTAATTAAATTAAGCTGACTACGTTTGGAAAGTTGAAAACTTATTAATGGCGACTGGAAAATTTAATTGGAATGTATTGAAGTGAAATAAACGTCAACATAATTGTCAAAACATAAATATGGTTCCTTCCTTTTTAAAATCAACTAATTTGTATATACCTTTCATAATTATAGAATTTGAAATCAAAGAATTCAAAATAGTATAATATGAATCACAATATTAATTTCTTCATATCCTTTCGAAAATCGTTGTTCAAAATTATGTATAAGTATAATCTCATTCAGTTGTTAATTGTTATCATAATTTCGTGAAATCTGGACTTTGCAGCATCACATTCGAATAACAGCTTCATAAGGTTAGCATTTTTTTTATTTACTGATTAATTTCTTACATTTGATTATAGTTTATGTGTTTAGTATATGTATCAATGACTTATTAGTGAGTTTTTGACAAACAATCCAAAGGTAAAAAAAAGTATATGTTCAGTATATTCTTGCTGTAAAAACTACTTTTAATTGGAATGATTTGTATATTCTTTAATATATATGTGTATGTGTTTCTCAATCAGCATATGCATTTTTGTCCAAAGGTAAAAAAAAGGCAAATGTAATTTTGATATTGCAATATTATACATACTTGTTGTAAAATGACCTATTTACCTTTGTTGTGTGTGTTTGTGTATGTGTGTGTGTGTTTGGATTAGATTATGTGATTGTATTAGATGATGTAAATTTCAATTTAATTAGTTATGTGTTTGGATTTGATTATGTGTTTGGATCGGATGAAAATAGAAATAAAGAAAAGTAAAAGTGGAGTACCTTCTCAAAAAGTTTAGTGTCTACATATATTATTTCTTCAAAATGACTTATTTACCCGTGCAATAAAAACTACTTTTTTGGGAATGATTCATATATTTCTTTAATATATGTTTGTGTTTGTGTTTCTCAATCAGCATATGGTTTTTTGTCCAAAGGTAAAAAAAAGGCAATGTACTTTTGATATTGTCTTATTATACATACTTGCTGTAAAATGATTTGTTTACATTAAAATGATAATGCAGGTGTTATCATCCTCCTACGTATGGCAAATATCAAAACTTGGGTGGTAAGAATATTTTTTTTCATTATACATGTTCATGTCATTACATTAATATTTTATTTATAAGATAAATTAATTTATAACTTTAATTGTTATTTACAGGTCAGCCTCAAGTAGGTAACTGTTTGTTTCGGTCAAGATTGCATATTAATGATGACATGTCTCACATTTCAAAATTCAAAAAAACATACGTCATTTATCATTAATTAATATTTTAATGTTTGTTTTTCCTTATTCTTAATCATTAATTATTTATATTGTTTAAATTCTTCATTTTTTTTCTTCTTATATGTAGTATTGTTGATATGGATTTGAATATTAAGGGGATGTTTGGATTAGTTTTTTAGCTTATTGCTTATAGCTTATTTGTGGTGGGAATAAGCAATAAGCAATAAGCATGGGGAGGAATGCTTAATAAAATTAGTTTATTTAGCCTAATAAGCTGGATTTTATCCAAACACTAAAATTAGCTTATTGTGGGAATAAGCAATAAGCACCTCTTTTTTTCCTATCCAAACACCCCCTAAGTCTTCCATTAGTACTACACAACTTAACACTAATACTGTTGTGGCTAAGGTAGAAGATTACTACCTCCATTTTCCAATCAAGAACATTGATGATATTCCAGATTACAATAAGGTATACTTAACAGTATTAATATTTTTCCATTAATTTTATAAATTTACAGCGCATAACACAATGAATATATATGATTTTTTTTTTATATATTTTTTTATAAAATAGGAAATTAGTTTGTCCATCATTGCTACTATCATCGGTTTTGATTTAAATGAAGACTGGTATTCTTTTTATTGTTGTGACTGTTCAAAAAAATTAAGTAAGAATGATGATGAAACCAATGCTGAACCATTTAATTGTGATGGTTGTGGTGGAGTTTCTGATGTTTACAGCAAGTAAGTTCATAATTTTACATTTGTAAAATTCTTGTGTCATTAATCTATATTCGAATGTTTCCAATTTTATTTCATTGTCCATTAAAGTGTCAATTTATAATTTTTAGGGTAGGAGTCGTAATTCGTGTTCAATATGAAACTGAGTCTGCTTCTTTTGTATTGTTTGATCGTCATGTTAAAAATGTTATTCACCAGGGTAATAAGTGGCTGATGGAAAAAATATCAAAGGTAGCGTTAATTTTTTTAATCGTCAACTCATCTCTTATTTTGTTTTATGATATTAATTTTTTTAATATATGTATTAAAGAATTGAATAAATTCATTTTAACCCATTAATGCATCCAATTCTTTTTAACATAAAAATTTGTCTACAAATATGTTCTTCAACGAGTTATACTTTTTTCATGTGTTCCCTCGTGTTTAACGCATGTTATAATCTAATATATATTAAAAGAGAAACCTGGTGACATCACCTTCAACAATCAGGACCATTCATTGTGTTTCATTGATTAATTTCAATAATTGGATCATTTTGATGATGTCATCATAAAATTAAAATTAAATTAATATTAACTAAAATAATCTGACTACTTTAGAAAAGTTGAAAACTTATTAATGGTGACTGAAATTTTTAATTGGAATGTATTGAAGTGAAATAAATGTCAACATATTTATCAAAACATAAATATGGTTCCTTCCTTTTTAAAATCAAGTAATTTGTATATATCTTTCATAATTATAGAATTTGAAATCAAAGAATTCAAAATAGTATGATATGAATCATAATATTAATTTGTTCATATCCTTTCCAAAATCGTTGTTCAAAATTATGTATAAGTATAATCTCATTTAGTTGTTATCACAATTTCATGAAATCAGGACTTTGCAGCATCACGTTCGAATACCAGCTTCATAAGGTTAACATTTTTTTTTGATTTATTGATTAATTTCTTACATTTGATTATAATTTATGTGTTCAATATATGTATCAGTGGCTTATTAGTGAGTTTTTGATAAACGGATTTTCTATTCTCACACACTCTCTCTCCTTCTCTCTCTCTGTATGTGTGTGTGTTTGTGATTGTGTGCTTGTGTGTGTTTGGATTGGATTCTATGTTTGGATTAGATGAAGTAAAATTCAGTTTAATTAGTTCTGTGTTAATTGAATTGGATTATATGTTTGGATTGAATGAAAAAAAAAAAAGTAAAAATAGAGTACCTTCTCGAAGGGTTTAGTGTCTATATATATTAAAAGAGAAACTTGATGACATCACATTCAACAATCAGGACCATTAATTTTGTTTGCTTAATTAATTTTAATCATTGAATCATTTTGATGATGCCATAATAAAATAAAATAAAATTAATATTAACTAAATTAAGTTGACTACGTTTGGGAAGTTGAAAACTTATTAATAGTGATTGAAATTTTTAATTGGGATGTATTGAAGTGAAATAAATGTTAAAATAATTGTCAAAACATAAATATGGTTCATTCCTTTTTTAAATCAAGTAATTTGTATTTACCTTTCATAATTATAGAATTTGAAATCAAAGAATTCAAAATAGTATGATAATGAATATATGTATGAATTTTTTTATATATTATTTATTTATTTATTTATTTATTTATGAAATATGAAATTGGTTTGTCCATCATTGTTACTGTCATCAGTTTTAATTTTGACGAATGTTGGTATTCTTTTTATTGTTGTGACTATTCAAAAAAAGTAAGTAAGAATGATGGTGATACTAATGTTGAACCATTTACTTGTGACTGTTGTGGTGGAGTTTCTGAAGTTTATAGCAAATAAGTTCATAATTTTATGTTTGTAAAGTTCTTGTGCCATTAATTTATATTTGAATGTTTCCAATTTTATTTCATTGTCCATTAAAGTGTCATTTTATAATTTTACGGCGATGGTCGTAATTCGTGTTCAATATGAATATGAGTCTGCTTCTTTTGTATTGATTGACCATCATGTTAAAGATGTTATTCACCATGCTAATTAGTGGTTGATGGAAAAGATATCAAATGTAGGGTAAATTTTTTAATCGTCAACTCATCTCTTATTTTGTTTTATGATATTAAGTTTGTTTAATATATGTATTGAAGAATTGAAAAAATTCATTTTAACCCATTATTGCATCCAATTCTTTTTAATATAAAAAGTTGTCCACATATATGACATTCAACGATTTATACTTTTTTGTATGTTCCCCGCGTTTAACGCGGGTTATAATCTAGTAATACAAGCAAAATACATTCCAAAAGCTACAAAACCTAATCTAAATTATGAATTCTTTGATTCAAATATTACAAATCGAAACATATTGACAAATTTACAAATAAATAAGCATTATAGATAACACAATACTTGTTTTAAATCCAGTAATGATTTTTAATACATCAAAAAACAATATTTGTTTCGTGGCTAGGATTTTGGCTTCAAAGAGAGCTATTAGGGTTTTGACTCAAATAAGTTGTTAAAACTTTTATTTAATTGGCAGTTATGGATTTTTCTCAAAAGCCTTTGATGTCTATTAAATAAATCCCACTCCTCTAAAATAAGCAAGTTACATTTAAATTGATGAAAATCTCATAAATACAAACCTAAATAATAAGGAAACAGGGAATTTGTTTGACTGAGAGAGTCAACGATTGAGTTGCACAAACCCTTTTGACTGCCTTCCCTAACGCATAACCCAACACATTTGATACAAAAAATGCAACTACATTTTCAATCTGTAAATACATTCAACCTATTATTTTTGTTTTTTATTAAGGAAAAAATAATGAAACATAAATAGAATATGGTAAGTTATGTTAGAATGTTTTCTATACTTAATTATAAAAGAATAGCAATGTATTTTTGTTCTATAAAATCCTATTTTCCTTTTCTGTCTATTATGACATTGAACATTTAATTTTTTTTACGAAAGCGTATTGGTTTGGAAAATCTAGTCAATTATATTTATACCCAATGTACGGGATGTAGCAATAAAAACGACTTTAAAATTGGGTATGAAAATTATACATCTTTAAATGGTATTATTACCTCTCGTTAACAGAACCAGAAAGTTTATAATGATTAGGAAAACCTTGCAACCGTTCATTTTCAAGGATTGTAAGTAGTGTAGTTGTGCCTATCAAGGGAAAAAATAATAAAAAAAAAAACATAAATCTTAATCTTTGTAATTTAATATTTCAATAATTGTGAAAGGGTTAAATTTTACAAACCTGATTATGTGGCTCCACTCTACCCGCTTAAGCTTTGACAACATCATCTAGTGACGACCAAATTGCTTTGTTTTTTATTGTATTATTAACTTTTACCAACCAAAATCATTAAATGACAAAATTGCAAAAATGGTCCCTATACTTGTCAAAATTATGTGGTTTTGGTCCAAAATGGTTTCATGGTGCATAAGTGGTCCAATATTGGATTTTTTTAGTGATTTTAATCCCTAAACACTTGAAATTACTTTTATACCCTTATAGTTTATATTTTCTGTTTTTTAATTGCTGAAATGTTTTAATTAAATTAATTTAACTTAAAACAAAAAAATAAAAACCCAACTCACCCTTTCATCCCTGTCATAATACCAAGGAGGAGAGAATCCCAATCATCACCACTACCCTCCATCACCAGTGTCTGTAACCAGCGTTGGTGGCCTCCATTTTCACCGGAGTTACCTGGTTCGCCACCATCACCCTTTTATATATTTCTGCCAGACATCACTTAACTTCACTTCTTTCTATCTTTTTCAAATACACACACAAACACATAGTCTCAAGAACACCCACACCGGAAACCAACGACAATAGGCTGGAAACCCACACCACTAGTGGCCGGAAACCTACACCACCAGCTTCACTTCTTGCACATATGTCACCACTGCATCCTCTGTCCTACAAGCTCCTTCCTGTAAAATCTATTAACCCCCACAATCTCTTTACTCTAATACTCTACTTCACTCCCGACTTTTGATTTTGGCTCCTGAAACCAAATTGGTAACGATTTTGAGATCCGATTTTAATGAAAATTTCAATACATGGACTTTAATATTCGGATTTAAGTTTATCAGGAAGCATTATTGCAGTGAAACAAATCGACCATAAACAACTCCATCAATCTGGGTGGAGGTTAGTGCAGGCGGAAAAGGAAATGGGCGAGATGGAGGTTTGGGACGACAAACTTCTTGAAGGCGTAGTGTTTGGGATCGATTTGCAGGTCCATTACTTGGCATCGTTTTGCAGGTCCTCTACGAGACATCGATTTGCAACCCCTGTCTCACCTTCAAAATCAGTAGGTGTATGGTATAAATCGATCTCATTCTTCGGTACTAGAGGAAGAAGGAGGGCGACGAAGGCTGGTGACGGCAAAGTGAGTAACGGAGGCCGGTGACGGCACAGGGAGCTAAGGTCGCCGGTGTATGAGTGTTTTTTTGGTTGGATTTTAAAGGATAGAAAGGTAGAGTCGTAGAGGGAAAGGGATTAGAAGGGTACGGTGGGTTTTGTTTTGGTTTTTTAATTAAAATAATAAGGAATTAATTAAAAAAAATAAAAATAATAATTATTGAAGGGCATATTGGTCTTTTCATGTAGGGTATGGATCAAAACCACACAACAATGTGAACCATAGGGACTAAAACTACACAAGGTATCCAAAATTGGACCACTAATGCACCACCAAACGTTTTTGGACTAAAACCACATAATTTTGATAAACACAGGGACCATTTTTGCAATTTTGTCTCATTAAATTAAAAAATAAATCAAAAAAAGTAAAAATAATAATAATAATAATAATAATAATAATAATAATAATAATAATAATAAATTAGGGCTTTAAATTCATAGAAATGATCAATATTACTTTTTTGAAGTACCACCAACAAAGGTCGTAGAATAACTTGGAACTTGTATCATTAGCTAAAATATAATGACAAACATATATCTTGTAGCATCCGGGATTTTCCAGGTATTATTATTAATCATCTTAATTAAAGTATGGAATGGTTTGGTTGTGGGCTTTGACCTTTGGGCTTTATTAGAGGGCTGAGGAAGCTTCGTACGTAGGGCATACATTGCCCAGTGTGCTCGTGAGAGTGAACCGCGGAGGCCATGCACGTACGTCCAGCGTACATGTGCGACTCCTTAAACCCAAAAATTTAGAGTTTACTCCATATATAAAGAACATTACTCCTGTTTCTTCAGCCTCCCTTCACCCTTATACAGCCTCCACGAAAACCCTACCTTACTTTTGTGTGTCCTTGTGACTTGGGAGTTATTTGAGAGTATTTTGGTGTAGTTTTGGTGCTTTGGAAGAGAAAGGAACTTGAAGAAGGAGCAAGGATCCACCAAGAGCTTGTAGATCTAGAAGATTAGCACCATTTCTGACTTATTTGAGGTATCAAGTTCCAACACTGGCCATTATATTCTTAGATTTGTTTATGGGGTGTTTAAAGTTACTTTTGGACTCCATTGTTGAGGCTTATTACATCTTAATGATTTCAGACCATAATAGTTGTCCTTTTGGGCTCTTAGAGACACTAAGAGTCATAAAAACCGGACCTTGATGGTTAAGCCACAACCATGCAAGTGTTAGTGGGTCTTAAAGTTTGTTAAAAGGAACAAAATCATGTTTTGACCCCAACCATGCATGCAAGCACATAAAGTTCATGACTTTATGACTTAGGAGGTACTAAAGGGCCTGGATATGCATTTTGGATGTAAAGACTTAACGAATTAAGTCATGAATGAAGTCTCAAAGAAGTTGGCCAATACGTTGGGCGTACTCCTTGGTACACCGTGCGTACTGGGTCAACTCCCCTTTCTAATCAAGGCCAGCGTATACTGGGCGTACATGCCAAGTACGCCATGCGTATGCATGCAAAATGAATGTTTTGGGCCTTAATAAAATGGGCCTGGACTTTTGGGCCCTATGGCCCACTATGAAGTATAACTCTGGACTTGGGAATCTAAAATTAGAGTATTGGGCATATTGGGCTATAATTGGACCCTTTGGAATTAGTATATTAGGACTTGAAACTTTTTTGGTCCTTCTGGGGGTTAAGGCCCAATTAATAAATTGGGCAATTAGTGGGCCCTTAGAGAGTCCTTGATGGGCCATAGGAGGGTTAGGCTAATAAGCTAGAATTGGGACTTATGAATGTTCCAATCGGACCAAGGGGTAAAATGGTCATTTTACCCTAAGTAGCATTATAGATGCTAACTAAGTATTATTATGATTATGATAGCCGTGAGTCATCAGAGCAGCTGTTAGAAGTTACTTCTCGTGAGATTCGACACTCAGCTTGGCGAGGTGAGTTACCTTCCATTAGAAGTGGGTCCAAGGCCACAATGTCGGCCCACTAGTAGGAGTTCGTAATTTGATAATTGTATGTGTGATAATTATTTGGAATGCCGCTATATATTATGTTATATATGTCAGTATGTTATGATTTTATGTGGTAGTGGTAGGGGTGAAATAGTCTCCGGTATCCGGTTGAAATAGACCAAAGGAGAGGCGAACACCCAAATATGCTAGGCAACTATTCGGTTGAAATAGACCGAAGGGGAGGCCAACATCCAGATATACTGGACAACTATCCGATTGAAATAGACCGAAGGGGAGGCCGGCACCCAGATATGCTTGGCTAGATATGTTATTCTATGGTATGTGGTATGATTGGGGAACTCACTAAGCTTTGTGCTTACAATTTTCAATTTTGTTTCAGGTACCTCTTCAGTAAAGGGGAAGGAGACGGTACGATAGCAGCGCATCGCACACACATGATTTCCGCATTTTGAGATTCATGGGATTTGTACTATGACATTATGACTACTTTCTATTACAATTTTGAGATATGTGATTATGGTATGATAACTTGAAACGATGATGATGTTGTTTTCAAGTAAATGATTTTATAAGTATTATATTTAAAACGAAAATGTCTGGTTGTGAAAATTATGATGTTACATATCTGATGGTATAATTGCTCCTCCATAAAGTGAAATAAAAAAAACATTATATTTCAGATAATTTATGGCTAGTTTGAAAAAATGTTGAAACTTTAAGTGGATCATGGTCATGTCAATTGTAAGAGCAAGTGTTGGAATATGTTCATGTAAATTCAAAGCTTCCATTGTTCAGATTGTAAACTTATTTGCCATGCTAATCTTCAAATCATAGAACCAATTCACGTTTATTCAAGTAAACAACTAATCTTTGGCTTCAATAATTTATTAGAACTTGTGTTACCTTACCAGAACCATATCAGCAAAACATCCCCTATTTATTTCATATTTTCTGCAATCATGAAAAAACTCGATACATGTTTCTTCAATCTTGACCTTCTAGCAGATTTTTGGTTAGACTGCTTTCTCTTCTCTCTTCTTAGATCTTGATCATTCTTGTCAGTTTATTTGAGTAAGTGGATAGTATCACCATTGATGAAATGGTCACTTTAAAAGCATTTGCCCAAACAAATTAAAAATTATAAACTCAAATTTCCTTCCATCTAGTTACATATTGAATAATAATAATAATAATAATAATAATAATAATAATAATAATAATAATAATAATAATTAAAAAAAAACAAATTATACCTGAACATAATTTATATGCTAAAGTAAGGCGCCCCCTGTCCGGTAACATTTCAGTTTCTACTAAAACTAACCTCTTTCAAATTCATCTGCTTCAAAGTCGTAATGAAATGAAGGAAACAAATAACAACTGAGATTAGTATTTCATAAAAAAAAGTCACAGTAAAGGCGTATAATCTACCCAAAAATAGAACATTAAAAGTCACAGTAAAGGCGTATAATCTTATAGTGAGAAGACTCACCTCGCAAGTAGTAGCTAAATACCGCAACTCACACCCAACAAAGACTATTCCTACATGACACCTAACAACAATACATAGTACCCTCTCAGTATACAATCCAAAACCCTTAATTGATGTGACAACCGTTAATTTTAGTCAAAGGAAGTCAACAAAAGTCAACCAGGTCAACTCAACTCGTGATAGAATTTTAGGAGAAATGTGATATTCCCTAATGTTTCTAATATACTATTGACAATTTATAACACAAAGTACCTCTCTATTGTCAATTATCGAATATAAACCCTAATTAGAGTTAGTAACGTAACAATTCGATAATTCAATTTTATATTATTTAGGTATAAATAATATTCATAACACAATGTAGTGGAGTTCGTAAACCTTATACTACATGACAAATTCATAATAAAGGTTACATATACAGTTTTTTGGTGAATTCATCACAAAATGCGATAGATTCGATACCCGACTTAGTTACTCAAACGATAACGAAAAGAATTAAGAATTATCCTAACTTTCGTGTAATGAGTTATTATTTTTTATGATAGTGATTTTTATAATAATTTGAATTTAAATGATCCAAATTAAGTAAATATACATCATTTTTAGCGAACTTTTTATAAAAATCACAAACTTTGATCAAAATTACTCATTCTTTTATAAAAAATAAAAGAAACAACTTTTGTCTTATATGGTGATGACATATTTATTAAAGAAATAATATAATAATCAAAGTCTAACCCTACACCTTACCTCCCCCCAATACCTTACCTCCCCCATACCCTACCCACCCCACCACTACCCTCCTCCCTCCTTTAAACTTCGGTCGACCCCCCCCCCCTTTCTCAATTCATCTTCATCATCTTCTACATTTCCTCTCAAGAACAATGTCATTTATCTCAAGGTTAATTCTCATAAGTGGGTTCTTGATCTTTTGATAAGTTTTTCTTTACTAATCTAGTGATTCTACGCACATATATACTAGTTTTGTTACAATTACATGCATTAACATTAGGGGTGCAAACGAGCCGAGCCGAGCCCGAGCCTGGTCAGGCTCGGCTCAGGCTCGTTTAAGTTATACAAGGCTTGAGGTCGAGCTCAGCTTGATTCGAGCTTTCTTTTACTAAGCTCGGCTCAGACTCGTAAAGAATTATACAAGCTCGACTTTTTTTTCGTTTGATGTGCCTAAATAAGCTTAAGCTCGACTTAAGCTCATTTACTAATACCCGAAATCCATAATTTCCCAAATTTGTTTTTTTATTTTAATATATGAAAATAATAATAAATTATATTATATAAAGGCTCGGTTAGGCTCGCGAGCCTAATCGAGCTTAGTGACATAGGCTCGAGCTTGAGCTCGTTTAATAAACGAGCTTAATATTAAGCTCGAGCTCGGCTCGGGCTCGTTTAAAACAGGTTTCGAGTCGAGCTTTTAACGAGCCGATCCCGAGTAGCTCGCGAGTAGCTTGGCTCGTTTGCACCCCTAATTAACATGTGTTAATATCCAGAGGGTAATTCAACCTTCAAGTGTTCTTCAAGTATCTTCAAGTGTTCT